TCGGCCTTGAAGATAAACTCAGCTAAGAAGTCTTACAGTCAGGAACAACGTGGCTTGGATTGGAAGCTAGACCATGTTGTACCACCTGGAAGCCTTGTTTCTTCGGCTGATGATGCTTCAAAAGACTTAGATTCTCCTGCAAGCAGAGTTCGGATGTCTTCTTGGAAGAAGCTCCCATCTGCTTCAGGAAAAAGTCCGAAAGAAGTTGATTCACCAAAGGAGCAGGATGATGTCAAAGTCGAACCTTCAAAAATATCAAGTAGGAAAAGAATTCCTGATGTGGATATGGCTCCTGCAAAACCACCAGAATTTCCTCCTGCCAAAGAATCTCAGGAACATTCATCGAAGCACCAACACAAAGTTTCTTGGGGTTATTGGGGTGATCAGCAGAATATTTCTGAAGAGAGTTCTATAATATGCCGCATTTGTGAGGAGGAGGTTCCCACTTCACATGTAGAAGACCACTCAAGAATCTGTGCAATAGCTGATCGATGCGATCAGAAGGGCTTGAGTGTCAACGAGCGTCTCACTAGAATTTCTGAAACTCTTGAGAAGATGATCGAATCATTTTCACAGAAGGATATTCAACATGGAATCGGGAGCCCGGATGTTGCAAAGGTATCAAATTCAAGTGTAACTGAAGATTCTGATGTTCTCTCTCCAAAATTAAGTGATTGGTCAAGAAGAGGTTCAGAGGACATGCTAGACTGTTTTCCTGAAGCAGACAATTCTACTTTCATGGATGATCTCAAGAGTTTACCTGCCATGTCGTGCAAAACTCGTTTTGGTCAAAAGTCCGATCAAGGAATGACAACATCTTCTGCTGGAAGCATGACTCCTAGATCTCCTATTTTGACACCAAGAACCTGTCAAATAGATTTGCTGTTGGCAGGAAAGAGTGCTTACTCTGAGCATGATGATCTTCCACAGGTAAGCTTCACATCAACTCCTTAGTCATGAAATGTGGTACTTTTCTTTTGTTGTTGCACATGACTGAACATACTGTAAATCATGTGTCATTTTCTTTATATGTTTTTTCCGATTTATATGTGATTTAAAGAAAAAATTACCGGTCCGTGAAAGACAGTTCTAACTGTTTAGGATTTCATGAAGAACAGGGAAAAGAGTTAAAGATCTTAATTTGCAACTTGGAATACTTTCTGAATATAATGGAGAAATTGAATCCACTTTTATGAGACCCTGCTTCATGGATGAGGAGGCATAGCTTTTTTTTTTTTTTTTGGGGGGGGGG